GATAAAGAGAAAGAAGAGAGGGAGAAATTGTTAATGCTTTCAACGACATGTATATAGAGAGAGAGAGTGAGAGAGAGAAAGAGAGGGAGGATAAAGAGGGATGGAGAGAGAAAAAAGGGGATAAAGAGTTAAACCTTCAAGGTACATATAATTGATTGTTATTAAATCTTTAGTTTATTACTTTTGTGTTACAATTTTTTAAAAATCAGAAACACTTCGTTTTTTAAAAGGTATGATATATACAATATCGGACAAGGGAGGAAGGGATAGAGCTAGAGAGAAAGATTGAAAGAGATAGAGGGAGAGAGAATGACAGGGAGAGACATAGGGAGAGAGAGAAAGTTAAAGTTTTAAGATACATGTATTTGATTGATATAAAAGACTAAGGTAAACTAGATGAATATGAAGTCTTAGAGAACGAAGAAGATAAAGGTGATGAAGAAGAAGAAAAGTAGAAGAGGAAGATGATGAAGAGAAGGTGTGGAAAACACGAAGAATAAGAAGGTGTGACCAAGAAAAAACTGAAGAAGAAGAAGTAAGAGAAGACATAGAGAATAAAGAGGAGAAAGAGGAAGAAAAACTTGAAGAATAAATAAAAAAATGAGATAAATGAAGAAGATAACGTGAGAGAAGAAAGAGATATAAAGGTGGTAGATGATGAAAAAAAGACGATAAAAAAGAAAAACCAAAAGGTAAATCAGAGGGAAAAAAGAAGAAGATAACAAACGATTATGTGGAACTCGTGTTTGTCTTAGTTCAGTTGGTTTGTGAGTTTTATACACTTATTTACTATTGTATTTATATTTTTAATTTTGGATCATGTTTACTCTTTTGGTTTGCTTTAGTATTTTCATGTATGTCTCAAATAGTTATTTAAAATTTATTCGGTTTACAACATAATATTTTGTTTTACATTTTTGAATAATTGTTGTTTTCTAGATACTCTTATTATTTGTTTCGGACTATTTGCTCTATTTTTAAATTTCTTACAAATCATGTGGTTTTTTCTTTAAGATATATACATTATTTTTACTAAATTAAATATTTACAAGCGAATCAACTTCTAATTATACATTTACATTTACAATTATGAAGAGTATTGAAAAAGAGCAGATATATTACCATATCTTTTGACAAAAACTCCATGATTATGATCAGAGAACCTTTAAAAATGGATTTTATATATTTAAAAGAAAAAAATATTCATGAATGGTTTTAATACCATATAATTAATTTGATAAGATTTTGAGATCCCACGGTCCGCGCAGGACGCGGTCAAACTACCTAGTACAGCTGAAAATTCGATGAAAAGTAGGAAAAAGATTTGAAAATAGCTTCCGAAGTAGACAAATTAAGGAGTCGGTTACGTAACTAAATCAAGGTCGAGTGAATATTAGACACGTGGATTAGAGTCAGTATCAATACTTTGCGTGGCTGAGGAATAGTGGTCGGTCGTTGTAGGGAAAGAAGAACGTCCGTTAGAATTTTGATTGTTCTAACTATTTTTCATTTCCGTCTAAACTTAAGTATATAATTGATTTCAACTTATCGGTAAAAAAAAAATTGATTTCAACTTGAATGTATACCGATCTATAATATAATTCAATGAGCGTTTGACTCTCGCATGCTCAATTATCTAGCTCAATACAACTATACAAGACACCTAGATGCATAAAATCTTCCGAGGCATTAGAACTTCTTGAAAACAGGGTTCTTCGCAAATCTTCTTGGCTCTCTAACATTTTCAACAGTTCTGAGTAGTCCTGTTTAAAACACTGAGTGGCATCCTTTTTCAGTGAAAGATTTCTTATTTCTACTTGTATTGGATTTTTAAGACTTATATAAAAGAGTTTATAGGTTGGTATTCATTATTCACAAAGATAATAATAAGAAATCCTAGATTAAATGGTATTTAGTTTTCGTTTAAGATCATTCGATTGATTTATCTAAAATTATATTACTTCTGTTTAGAATTATCTGTTTTTTTTTGCTGTTTAAAGAATTGTATTAAGAAAGCGTATTACAATCGTTGATTACAGAGGTTTGTAAAAGGAATTTTTTTTTTACACAAAAATATTATTTATAATTTATTTAAATATAATTCAGTCAAAAAAAGATAATATGCAGAATATAAAAAATTAAAAATAAGAAAAATTATTAATTTTACATTGAAAAGTGAGAACATCAAATAATTCTGAACAAAAAAACCTCTTAAAACATCAAATAATTTCGAACAGAAGAAGTAACAAATATGAATCAAAATTATAGATGTAGAAATTTTTTTATGAATACTTAGTTTTTAATTTTATTTTTGTTGTCAAAGTGCTTTCAATTTAAATGCAAAGAACAAAATACATGATATGACTTTGAGGCCATATAATTTTGAAAATAAATAAGATAATTAGAGCTCTACCACAAAGTAGAAATGTAAAGAGAGAATTGTAAAATCTAGAAAAGACTCTAGAAGTTACTAAAGTAATATGCGGTCTCCTCTACTACCATAACGATTTTTCCTTTGACCTCTTACAATGGTTTATTGCATTTCTTGAACCCTTTTTTGTATTATTTATCTTACGAATCAATGATTATTGCTACAGAATTTGTAGATTCGGAGTTATTATGCCGATCCGAAAACTAGTTTAAAGCCTTATAGGTGACCAACAAAATCTGATTGGAAACTTTACTACTTACCAACCAAGTATTGATACCAACTTGTGTTCGGTATTTTGAAAAATCTGTGCAAATTCTTTTAGTCATGTGTTTTCTTTGATTGAATATTTTGTCTTTTTCGTAATACATAAATAATTGAACATATAAATGAATGTATAAATATGTACTATATTCTTCTTCTTTTTTTCATAAAGCAAGTATGGTTAGGTGGTTAACAAGTGTAATAGAGTTGGAGGGTTTTGATTGTTGAACTAACTTAAATAAAAAATCTTGAATTGTCAAAATAATCTAACAAAACACATTAAGTTGAACTAACATGGTTCAAGCCAACCATACAAAACCGTAAAATATAGTTACAAAAATTTTTTTTTTTTTAAAGTATACAAAAAGTCTATGTCGTCTATACAGACTCTCCCCACTATATAAAGTTCAATAGCATACAACTGAATTTCTCATCAACACAAAGAAATATATTGAGTAAGCAAAGCATAATCAAAGTTTCATCAACACATCCAAAATGGCATCATACAAGCTCTTTCTCATTGCTTTCTTAGTGAGTCTCTCTTCCTCTATTATGATCAAAACTTGCTCGGCCTCACGCCACCTTCTCCAGCAACAACAACCTATTCCTCAAATTCCAAATATGCCTATCCCAACAATGGGACTACCTCCATTGCCATCAACCTTGCCACAACCAACACTTCCAACCATTCCTCCATTTCCATCAACATTGCCACAACAATCTCTTCCCACAATTCCTCCATTGCCATCAACATTTCCACAACCAACTCTTCCTACTATTCCCACTTCAATTCCTCCTCTTCCAATGCCAACTTTGCCTTCTCTTCCCACTAGTTTTCCATCCATTCCATTTTTTACTCCTCCACCTACTACAACTACATCGAGTCCTTAAATAATATACCATTCATGGGTTTTGTTGTATCTCTTATACTGTACTGAGTTGTATCATTGTGTTTTTTTTTGGTTTGGTTGATTACGCATATCCCTATGATTTGTACGTTTAAGTTCCGTTTTGATTATCAATATGTTGTATTTTACATTTGTTTGTGCTTATTTGGTTCTTTTTACTCATGGTAATATAAATATTTGGTTGGTATGTTTATCATATCTACGTACGTTACTACGCATAAGTTGTTATAAGTGCATATTTATTTGTTAATATTGCAGTAACACAATATTTAAAAAATATCTGTCTATATGAACATTTCTAGTGTGTAAACTTATCAAAATGAGACTCTCTCTCTCTCTCTCTCCCAATTTGAGTTATATTTAGTACTTCATTTGTTGATTGATTTCATGCTTTTTTAAAGGATATCTTTTTGGAGAAATTACGAGTCATGATCATATCTATAAAGTATATGCTAAAAAATTCCGTGATTGCGATTAATATGGAGTTTAAAATGCTCCTAGACACTTTGTTCGATATAGTGGAATTTTAAATGTCAAAATGTTTAGAATCTCAATCTATATCGTTACATAAAAGTCAAAAAGAAGAAAGATAAGGGAAAAAGATAAGAAATAGAAGAAGGTTTGACATCATAACCCGAGTCAACCGTGTTTTTTGTTCCCCGGTTATTAGGTTTTTGCCGGTTTGTTACGGTTTTAACTGGTCCAACTATTTTATTGTCAACCAAGCCCGGTTATACATTCGATTCATGGTTGAAACCGGTCTGACCACCGGTTGGTCCGGTTTTAAAAACACAGCTATAGAAGAAGACAAAAACCAACAACAAATGTATGTTAAATAGACCAGTATTTTCCTATACAAACCGAACCGTAAAGCGAACATATCCAAATGAAAGCCAACAAACCGGTTTAGAAGAAGCAAAAACCAAATACAAAACCCAAAGCATCAGGTATTATCCACAACGCACCATAACAATGTTTGGCTGAGACATATCCTTGAACTGTGTATGAAGCAACAATCTTCTTGAAGTTCAGCAAACCAAAATGATTTCAAACCGAGCTCAATCTAGATTACCAGTTTCTGCAAACCAAAACCAAAACCAAAACCAAATCAACTACTCCTAGAAAATCAAAGACTCAAATACTAGCTTTGCTCATGCCCAAGGCACATACCAGAGTTAGCAGGAGGTTTAGATTCTTGAAGAGAGATGACAGTTTCGAAAGCACCAACCAAAGCTTTAACTTTGCTTTTTCGAGCTTCAACAAGTTTACTCGCTGTTTCTTCGATGACATTGTTTAACAGTCCCTGTGCATCTTTCTCCTGAACATCTTGATGCCTCAACACAACTTTTTCACCATCATCATCTACTTCTTCTTCTTTAACATCTTCCCTCTTCTTAAAGCTTCTCCTTCCTTGTGCATCTTGCGCTTTGTCTTCTCCGAGACCTCTTCCTCTTCTAAACTTGAGCTTCCTTGCACTCTCACCCACAGCATCAGCATCCACAACTTTTCCTCTTCTGAAACGTAATTTACGAGCAGCTTCATCTGTAGAATCGCCCTCCTTTCTCGCTCTTGGTTTCTCGTCACCATTTGACATTCCAATCTCTTCTTCTCCGCTCTCAGCTTCGTTGCTTCCTGAAAGATATTCATAATCCTCCTCCTCTGAAACTATACACTCAACATCTTTCTCAGTTGATTGAGTCGGTGAAAGAGGAGGACAGGGTTCAACAATGCACTGCTGATTCTGATCATGTTCAGAGACGACTTTGCTCGTTGTTTCCATTTCCACAACGTGCAATGTTTTCTCCTCTACTGGATAACCATCTACCTCCTTAGATTCATCAGTGCGATTCACACGCCTTGGTTTCTGATTTGGTCGAGAAGAGGAGGAAGAGGCAGCCTTTAAGCTCTGACTTTTCCTCAAACTTGAATTCCCGGCTAGTCTTACTGATATTCTTGGAGAAAGCGAAGCTTTTGGAGTCACCGGAACTTTCTTTAAAGCAACTCTGGATGAGACTGTAGCCTTCTTCATCTTTGCATCTTCGTCTTTTGATCCCATTTTGGGCTTCAGAACAGGTGAAGAAGCAGCTTTCTCATGGTTTACTTTAGATTTCGATGTTGCTAGTGCTGAATAAGATTTCGTTAAGAGTTTCGGCTTCAGAGAATCAACACTACGAGACCTTGAATCTGGTAAAGGTTTAAGTTTCGAACTTGATGTCACCTTCTTCTTCATCTGTTTCACAGGAGTTTCATCCTCAGATGATATTATCAATACCTCTGGCTTCCTCAATCCACTAGAGACACCACTCACTTGATGCTTCACAACCTCTCTTTTGATCATCTCAGAAGAATCATCAGTAACCTTCTTTTTCTTAACTTCTATCGCCTTCTTCGTTTTAGAAGAACCTGGCTTCAAAGTTTCATTTAAATCATCATCAAGAGATTTCTTGAAGATCTTTTTAGTAGTCGAACGCCATGGTTTCTCCACCGAGATCTGTTTCTTCCCGTACTTGCAGATATCATGGCAAGAACCAGTGGATGCTCTGAGGTAACGAGGAATCTCTTTCTCTTTCGACTTCGTTGCCATTGCCTTCCCTGTAGAGTCTCCTGACTCTCCTCTCGGCTTATAAACGTCTTCCTTATTCATCGTTTCAGGCGTTCCAAAGCTACTCACAGCATCTTCATCCATCAATTCACACCAAACAAGAGACAACCTGTTCATTTTTTTCAGACATAAGACACCAATTAACCATAATCACTACTAAAACTTGTAAAAACCGGATCCTAAAAACTACTTCTTGCAAGAGTGTGTTTGTGATTTAAAGATTAGACAACCGAAAACAGATCACTGAAGAGATTAAAGACACAAACTTAGGACACCAAATTAACCATAATCACTACTTAAACTAGTAAAATAACCGGATCCTATAAACTACTTCTTGGAAGAGTTGATGCACAATATAGCGTCTGTTTCTGAATTTACAGATTAGACAACCGAAAAACAGATCACTGAAGAGATTAAAGACGCAAATTTTTAAAAACAAAAACACAAACTTGAAGCATAAAAACAGAATCAGCTAAAAATAGGAAATGTCATAAGATAACGAGCCAGCAACAACATTATCCACCACAAGATGCCAAAAAATTAAACTCTTTTCTGTAACCTATAACAACTTTTTTTGCACTAAAAGGCAAAGAGCTTACCTATCGAAAGAAATTTAATTAAGCAGCTTGGATCTTGGCTATCAAGAGGACAAATCTGATAAACAAAAGCACGAAGAAGAACTCAGAGAGAATAAGTTATATGTAAAATAGAGAAATTATTCGAAAATTAAGCAGACAATGGCATGACTCATGAGACAGAGACAATGCAACATAGTTGAAGGATTCTCTAATAAAATAAAATAAAATAAAGAAATCAAATGAATTTAAAGCAAAGTGTCATCTTGAAGCATTCAATTTTCTGAGAAAAACAACAACCCAAAATATAAAGCATAAGATCCAATTTTTACGTTTCTATTGAAAATGGAATCGTCTAAAAGGCTAGAGAAACCAATCCGAAGAAACCCATTTCAAAAATCAAACCTTATATTGTAAGAATATATTGGCATTATCGATTCATGGTTTGCACGATCAGAAAATTCAATGGAGAAATCATTTTGAATTAGAAAAAAAACTCAAAAACCCATCTCAAAATGTCTACCAGAAAAAGTTTTTTTTTTTTTAAGAAAGCAGAGGAATAATTCACCTGTTGAAGAATTGAGTCCAACCGAAAAAGAAAAATACTTTTTCCAAGACAATGATTTTAGCAATGGAGAATCAGATTATTGAGATATAAAAAAAAAAGCTGCAGAATTTGCTGATCCTTTTCTTCTGGGTCGGTGTTTGCTTCGCCGATTTCGTGCAAGCAACTAAAAAAAGGTTTTTTTTTAGTGTCTCCGGCTTTTAGGTTCTTTACGATGGTGGGGGCTTTTCTTCTTCTTCCTCTATTTCGCTTTCCGCGTTCGTCGCAGAATCAAAAGCGCATTTAATAATTTACCCTCTCTTCCTAGATTTTAGAGAGAGAAAGTTGTGGCCTTGTGGGGTTATTAAAAAGTACGGAGCTTTACGTTTGATCACATGGTTCGGTTTAGTTCAGTTTTGTATATTAACCGAACCGGGACTACTTTCTAGAGTATACCCGGAGGTGAACCAAAACGAATTCAGCTTATTCACGAAAAATTAAATGAAAATAGGTTAATTGGAAAAAGTAATAAATTAAGAAATTAAAATTGAAAAATGTAAGAATTTATGGTTTAATTTTAGGGGTTCTAAAAAGTACTTTCTTGACAGGTTCTATAACAAAAACTTATAAATATGAAAATAACCTATTTTCTAAAAAGTTTTGAAGTGATAAGAAATTTTTAAGTAAAAATAAAATTTTGAATGAATATTTGAGATTTTTTTTAAACGATAAGATTTTTTTCTTTATCAAAAATTTGAAGTTATTACTATAATTTCAAATAACGATGTACAAGTTATTGAATATTTTAAAATACAATACTAAATAAATTTCTTCAAATGTTGTCAAAAATTGAATTAATATTAACGAATAATTTATTTCGAAGATATCAAAATGATTTTTAATTTTGATACCAAAATTAAAAATCTCGATTTAAAATAAGAAAAGATACATATTCGTGATTAATTATCCTCTGTTGCATTAGTTGTTTTTAAATTTAAGATAACTCTGATTAGATCAATTTGATAAAAAGACCTTTTGATTTATGAAATTATTTTTTTCCTAATCTTTGATATAATTTTTTTCATTTTGATAACTCTCCTATCGTATCGTATCTAAAAATTATTAACGATAAAAAATTAACTAAAAGGATAAATGTTTCTTAAGGCCTCCCATAGAATTTAAAAGGGTAATTTTATTGGTCCACATCAGCAATCAAAATTAAAGAAAGTTTACAAATTTTAATATTATTACTGAATAAGGAAGATTTACAAATTCTAATATTATTGCTGAATAAAGAAATTATGTATAATTTTTTTATTAGTCCACCTAAACATTGAAAATTTAAAAGTTTCCAAATTCTTTTATTGTTTCTAAAAATTATTAACGATAAAAAATTATATACAAACTTTATTTTAATAATAAAAATTAAAATAAATAATATCAGAAAAGTAAATTTTAAATTTAAATTAGATGTATACACACATATTTAGAGACTTTTACATTAGCATCCAAATTTTTGTCACACAACTATAATAAATTTTAAGTTTCTTTTTCTATGTGTGCATTTATTTCAAAAAAAAAAGAGTTTTAACAAAAAAATTGATTCATAGTTTTTCATATTGTTATTATTAATAGAATTTTAACACAAAAAATAGAGTTAAGTTTCACTAAAAAATGAGTCATTACAACGTAAAAGAACCAACTTGACTAAACTATATGTTTAACTATAATAAAAGAATATATACACAAAACCATTATAAGCCGCTTTAATATTGAAAAAGAGACCGTAAAATATCCAAAGCTTAGCCACCGAATTCGAGAAGAGTGATAAATTTCACGCAATCCGAGAAACATATCAAGTGATTGATACTCAACATTTTTGAAAAACGAAGCACTGAAAATAGAGAAAGAGATAAATTAAGAAAATTTATAACATAAATTTAACATGATAATAAAATATTATACATTCACTTATTAAAATCAAAAAGATAATTTGTTAAATAAAAAAATTAAGAAAATTTACAAATTCTAATATTATTACTAAATAAAGAAATTCTGTATAATTTTTTATTGGTCCACCTCAACATTGAAAATTAATAAGTTTACAAATTTTATTATTGTTTTTTAAAAATTATTAAAGATAAAAAATTATATATAATTTCTATTAATAATAAAAACTAAAATAAATAATACTAAAATAGGAAAATCTTAAATTTAAATTAGATGTATACACATATTTTAGAGACTCTTACATTAGCATCTAATTTTTTGTCACATATAACAATTTTGAAAAAAACCTTTCTGTGTGTGCAACCATATCGAAAAAAAAGTTTAGTTTCACTAAAAATGAGTCATTACAGCATAAAAGAACTAACATGACTAAACTATATGTTTAGCTATTAGCTAAACTACAAAAAAAAAAATATAATGAAAGGAGAAATAAAGGCACTACAAGACGCTTTAATATTGAAAAAGAAACCATAAAATCTCCATTGCTTGGCCATCAAATTTGAGAATAATGATAAATTCCAAGCAATCCGAGAAATATGTCAAGTGATTGATATTCAATATTTTTGAAAAACGAAACACATAAAATAGAGAAAGAAGTTCCATCATTAAGACAAAGAAGATTGAGGTATCCAAGGAAGATCTTTGAAATAACATGACATCTGATGGAATTTTAACAACTTAACTTTAACCACAAAGGTAACAATTAGCTGACCAAGCAGCATCCAAATACATTCGGTAAGCCTCAAAACAAGGAGACTTCTAAATCTTATAACTCAGAAAAGTTAAAGCTATATGCCTCTAAGAATATCCATATAGGATTTAAAAGTTTAATTCTCTTGGTCCACATCAATATTTAAAAATTATTTTTTTAAAAAAAATTCTATTGTTAACAAAAAATTATATTTATAGAAAAATAAAAGTTGAAGCTATATGCATCAAAGGGTGTCCACATAAGATTTAAAAATTCAATTCTATTGGTTCACATCAACATTCAAAAATAAAAAAAGTTTACAAATTTTAATATTATTGTTGAATAAAGAAATTAAGAAAGTTTACAAATTCTAATATTATTGCTAAATAAAGAAATTCTGTATAATTTTTTATTAGTCTATATCAATAACTAAAATTAAAAAAAAATTAAAAATTATAAAATTACATTGTTAATACAAAGCAATATAAGAAATTTTTTATTAAAATTCTTAATAACAGTTAAAGCTATATTATTTTCAATATTAAAATAGGAAAATAGGAAAATCATGATTTAAATTTAATGTATGCACACATATTTAGGGGCTCTTACATTAGCAATCAAATTGTTGTCACATACTATAATAAATTTTAATTTTTTTTTTCCTTTGTGTGCAACCATTTCAATTTAAACAAAAAAACAAAAATATAGAGTTAGGTTTTACTAAAGAATGAATTATTACAACATAAAAGAACAAATTTGACTAAATTATCTGTTTAAATATTAGCTAAATTACAAAAAATATGATGAAAGGAGATATAAACAAAGCCACTACAAGCTGTTTTAATATTGAAAAAGAGACCATAAAATCTTTAAAGTTTGACCATCAAATTTTAGAAGAATGATAAATTCCAAGCAATCTGAAAAACATGTCAAATGATTGATACTCGACACTTTTAAAAAATGAAGCACTACAAATAAAGTAAGAGGTTCCGTCATTAAGGCGAAGGAGACTGCGGTATCCAAAGAAGATTTTTGGAATAATATGGCATATAACGGAGTTTTAACAACCCAACCTGAACCACAAATGTAATAATTAGCTGACCAAGCAATATCTAAATACATTTGGTAAGTTTCAAAACAAGGAGGAGAGACCAAAATCACTTGCCGCAACGGGCCTCGTGTGGGATCTTCCAACATTGATTTCTAAATCTATTACTAATAAAAGTTAAAGTTATATGTATCTAAAAGTGTCCACATAAGATCTAAAAGTTCAATTTTATTGGTACACATCAATATTTAAAATTAAAAATATTCTAAATTTTAAAATAATATTGTTAACAAATTTTTCTATTATTAATAACAGTTAAAGTTATATTATTTTCAAGACATCCACATTAGTATTTAAATTTTCAATTTTATTTGTATATATCAAAATTGTAAATTAAAAAAAAATTCTAATTCTAATATTATTGTTAAGAAAATAAATTAAAAACTAAAATAATTTCTATTAACAAAAAACAACATGATATTAAAATTTCAATATCACTATTTAAGTTATAAATTTAATTTGTTATCTATAGTAAAAAAATATATCCTACTTATAAAAGATTAAGTTACTTGATTTTAAAGCTTTTCACATAAAACTTTAAATAATTAATAACTATGAATTATATTCATCTAAATTTTTGTTACATGTGCATAACATATTTTCACATAACCTCATGTAATATATTATACGAAAATAATCAAAAAATAATATTTTATATATTAGATTTGGAATTACAATAGATTAATAGAATTTCTTAGTTTTTAGTTTTTCAATTTGTTATTAATTTTTCTATATTTGTATGTATTAAATTAGTACTGGTTTTGCCTACTTAATTTTATAATTTGAAAAAGTGAGAATAAATATAATAAAACTGAATATAATCATTAAAATATATAAATAAGATTGAAAGAAACATATATAACAAAAATAAAAATGAACATGATGAAAAAAATATAATCATTGAAAAATTATTTAAAATTTTACAACTAGTTGACAAAAATATATTTAATTAACATATTTTGTGTGATTTTATTCATATCATATTCAACTATTATTTTGGTTTCAAAACTAAAGCTGTTATTAATCTCAAAGTAAATATTTTATTTATTAGTTGTTTTTTAAATTAATAAATCAAAATAAAATTTTGTATTGGTTAATCTTTTTTTAAATAACACATATATAATTGAACAAAAAGTAAAAATGATGAAAAAACAATTTTTTCTTCTTGATTTAAAGAAGTGAATGTATAATATTTTATCATCATGTCAATACTATGTTTAATAAGTAGCATTTGATTAGTTTGTAAAATTTTTAGGTAGTTTAAGTATATTAACTTATAAGTGTTTGATAAAATAACATATTTTTGAAATACGACATACAGTAAAACCTCTATAAATTAATAATGTTGGGATCATGATATTTTATTAATTTATCGTGAAGAAAAATTGCTTTCCGTATATAATTTTTTAAAAAATTATTTGAAATAATGTTATATTTTAAAATTTTAACAAACCTCATAATATTTATTATGATTAAAAATCATAACTATCACAATAATATAGTTTTTTACCATATTGGATTGTCCATATAAAAATATACATGTTCATAAGTCTAAAATTTATAAAAAAATTTGGATACTATCAGTATCATTGATGATAAAATTGAAGATAACATTACAATATATTTAGAAAAATATTTACATGTAAGAAAATCAATTATCACATCAAAAAATCATCATAAATTTTGAATGTATATAGTAAAACAGCAATAAGAGCTACTGATATAATAATTAAAAAGATGAGAACCAATAAGATTTCAACCTTAACTAAAAACAAACACATTAGTCATATTTTAGAATATTAAATTTACATATATTTGCATAGATTTATATAATTATTAATTTATATTTTTTTTGGGACCATGTATTTACATAAGGGTTTCAAAAAAATAATTATCTTATTATCTTATCAAATTTGATGGATTTTTACATTGGTCCGACTTGGGACCAGCAAAATTTATTAATTTATAGTTATTATTAATTTATCGAGTATTAATTTATAGAGGTTTTACTGTATATAGATTCAAAACAAAACCGTTAAAACATCACAATTTACATTTAAATTATTATATTAACATCATAATATTTTTAATATATTATCAAAACACTAATATATAAAATTTATATCATAATAGATATAATTGATTGTATATAATTTTTATCAATAAAATACCTACGCGTAACTTGGACGCAAAATCTAGTATCTTTAAGATTTAAAAGCTAAAGTAAATGATAAATTTTTAACCAAAACAAGAAAAAGAGAGTAAATGGTAAACCAAACACATCCCAGCTCATGTACGCTTTTTGTTTTCATTTGATTTTCACAACTCTAACCAAACCCAGTTTGAACCCACAATTCGAACCGAACTACTAGTCTACTTCTGTTCTCCATTCCTACATTTTCGTTGGAGCAACTTCTTATTTATTTGGAAACAGTATTTTAATTATGATTAATGAGTGGTCGGTTTTAAAATTAATACTATCTCCAACTTCAAGCAATCTCTTTACTTTTCTCAACGCTTTCGTGACATCGTCAAATGTTTATCTTTCAGTTTCTTATTTTTTTTTTTTTAAAAGGTCAGATGTGTATTAAAATATCAGCAGAATGATGTTTACTTCTCCACTAGTCATTGTAACTACATTTTACAAAGTTTGGCATTCTACCTTATTTTTTCTGTATTTTGGTTTGGGATTCTTGAGGTTATGTAAAAATTAGAAGAAAATAGCTACAAATCTATTAATTTACCTGTTTGTCTAAAATTCCTTCTTATGTTTATCATTTGGACTTTTAAAAAATAATAAAAAATCTATTGTAGGGTTATGTCTATTAAAAAAAGGAATCATAAATCAACAGTTTATCTTGCTTATTCTTAAATATTACTTATCAAAGGAAAAGTGAAATTCACAACTCTCAAGTTTTTTGCATTTCAATCTAGTTATCACTTAACATTTCAAAACCAATTTTTGTTAATGAAAAAGATCCAAATGGCAACAGCATATTCGGAGTAACTAATAGATTTTGGTAAGGTGAACGAGTGTAGATATGGCTAGATAAACATAAATGATTGTATGTGAAGTGGGTGAACCTGAAAGAAGCACACCAAATATGCTTTTACACTCTTAGTTTTCTCATGTGGTGGGGCAAAAGGCTTAATTGTTGCTACTTTACTCATTTCGTATAAGTGAACAAATCATGGAAGCAATAATATAAATGCATGATCAATGACATAAAATAGATACACTCATACATATGTCCTAGTGAAGAAATACAACCATTAAATATAGTTTACACGATGAAGGCCCCATCCTAACATAAAGGCTGACTAAGCCACAACAAGGAAAATACCGGTCATCACAGATGTATACCACCAGTCCACTAAGACCCTTGACATCGAAACCCTAAGACCCATTAGCAAATAATCAAATATTTTAGTCCACTAAGTTCCCATCACCAAAATATGATGCACGAGATACGGTTTCCTTTAGTTGTGGGTTAAGATCAATCAGGGTTTAGATTGTGATAAACTCAGAGACATCAATCTCTTAGAAGACTATTTCTTCATATGTAACATATTGTTCAAACAGAACAACACATTTAAAAACCAGACCAGTTATGACTGACTTAACAATCCAAAAGCACAGAATAACTAAGTCCATTGATAGATAGTTATCTGATCCAATTTTTCAAATGGATCTTGTCTTGTGCAGACTACGAGCAAAGCCAGCGTCAAGTTTGAAGATGCCAAAACACCGTTAAACCAAAAGTAGCGCACTTTGACTCTTTGCCTTTTTTTGTATAGTTTCTGATCAGCTCTAATTGTGACGCGAGACTGAAGCATCCCGTCTTCTTAATCATACAACATAAAACCGCTTTGTATTTTTGAAAGGATTCTCTGATGGCCACTCAGGCAACCTCAGAGCATTGCCGAGCAAGGTAACATACTTGGGGTATGTCTTGGGATCCCCTATACAAGATTAAGACATGAACCAGCAATCAAGTGAGATTATTTAGTATACCAAAGAACAATTGATGGCACCACAAGTTAACATTTGTTACCTCGAGGTACGGCAATATAGCACGTCAAAAAGTAATACGCCACGAGTTTGTTCATCAATTTGAGTCAAAACAGTCATCTGGATCCATTGCAACCGAAGTTATGTAGTAGGAGGCAAAACCACCAAAATTAAATGTGTAATTGTATTTCTCACTTAGTTTTTCTCCTAAAATGGCGTACAAATGAAGAAAGAAATTGTGAAGTAACGTGGATATAGAAACCACCAACAAGAAGCTAGAGACTAGCTAGAGTATGATTTAATTGGAGAAAATTGTTACGATGAAGGCCCATCCTAGGAGACCGCTCAGTACAGATCAGGGCCCTCAGTCCAGCATAACCCTTACTATCCAAACCCTAAAAGACCCATTAGCATATAATAAATTAAAAAAATATATAATGATTAGTCAACAAAGAAATTTATTAACAACAAAATAAATAATACAGAAATTCACCGATTTAAAGATTAGTCTACAAGTGAAAAAGAGGTAATACAGAAACAAAATATAAAAACCTAAGTATTATGTTATCTGAATAGCATCTTAATTTGTATCTTAATTATCAAAAAAAAAAAACACATTTTTCAGATTTTACTCTGTTTTCTTTTTCTCGTCTTTTCCAAGTTAATTTTGCATATAAGTGTGTAAAACATTTAATTAAGTTTATCATACACACTTATATAGTTATATAACTATATATAGAATACGATCAAACTAAATTATAAACTAACACTAACATGGTAAAGTGAAATTGTGGAGATCGTGCTCCTAAACACAAAGAAGACCATTCTCCATTTATCAGTGATTTAACTGAAAATAAACAAAGAAAGATTCAAAGACTCTTAAAACAAAGAAGGGAAAGAGAAGGACTCTTAAAAGTTAAAATAAAGAAGGAAAAGAGTCAACAACTCTTAGACGATAAGTCTCCGGTTCTTTTTTTTTTTTTTGATAAATCTCCGGTTCAGTCGAAGCGTCTTGTCTCGGTTTGTCCGGTACTCCGGTCAGTCTTTTTTTTTCAGATCAATACACTTTCGTTCGCTCTTCCACCTTGGTGAAAGTACTTGAAGTAGATCTCTGCATAGTTCTTGATTGTTTTGTACAAGTACAACCTTGGTGTTGTCTCAGACACAAGCCCATTTACAGGTTGAATCACTTGGTCTGCATGCGGAAAGCAAAACGTTGTCACAGATATCCTTTCCTTTTCTCTGTTAGTCACAACTCTATGAACCGGGCTCTTGTATACTCCATTGCTCATTATCTGAACACGCAAGAGAGATTATGTCAAATCTAAACCTCAAACTGAGAGATGCATTATTTGTAATAAGATTTTTTTTTTGTTTCAATAAATTTTACATTTAATTCAAAAAAGAGAAAAAAAAACATTGATATCAAATCTACATTAAGCAATCTTCAAAAAACATATAATATATACATGATTGATTACCTGGAGCACATCTCCTACAGTGACCAGAATCGTATCAGGAATGATTGGAGCTTTATACCAATTTCCATCTTTGAGGAACTGAAGCCCTTCCACATTTTTGTCCGGTAAAAGAAGAGTGATGACCGAGCCATCAGTGTGCGGTCTATTCCCAATAACTTTGTCCAGCCTCGGACATGGCGGATACATGTTGAATCTTGTCTCCATTATAGAATTTTCTCCACACATCTCTTGAAAGCAATTATCTTCCAGGTCCAAAGATCTAGCCATTCCCATGAAGAGCTGATCTTTCATCATCTTTAGCTTCATTGTGTATTCATGTAAAGTTTCCCTGTAGAAAACGGTTTGTCAAAAATAACAAAAGTCAACGACGCAAGATGCTTGTTGAAACTCAAAAAGACTATGGATTTTACCTGAATCCGGTTGGGATTTCTGGCCAGAATTTAAGTTTTCGTTGATCTTCAGGGTAAGTAGTGAGGTGCAATCGGTCAATCCAATCGAGAGGTTGATCATCAGTAAATATGGTATCGTTTCCATATCCTTGGTAACTATTATCGAATTGGCTTTAAGATCAAGTTAATAAAACTCACTTTTATTAAACTTTAGGAAAACTCTCTCAAAAACCTAAAAGACCAAAACTCAAACTCATAAGTTATGCCACAAGTTGGCATCTCCTTATATAGGTTTAGCAACTCCTAAACCTAATAGAACTAGATAACTCCTAATTTCCTTTTTCCTAATCTAACACTTTTAGGAAATATAACTTAAGAAGAATCTAGAAGCTTGCTCTTCAAGCTTTCTTTCAAGCTTACTCCAACAATCTCCCTTTAAGCTTGAAATCACCTTTGATCACCTCTTTGACACCAATTAGATTCCTCATCTCTTTGAACTTGGTCCTCCCAAGTGATTTCGTCAGAATATCAGCCTTCTGTTCTACTCCAGGAACATGTTCAACTAAAATTTGCTCATTCTCCACACACTCTCTAATAAAGTGATACCTTCTATGTATATGCTTACTTCTTCCATGATACACCGGATTTTTAGTTAAGGCAATAGCTGATTTGTTGTCAATTCGAACTAAAACCTTGTTACATCCAGATCCGATGAGTTCTTCAAGTAGCTCCTGCAACCAAATCGCTTGTTTGGCTGCTTCAGTAGCGGCCATAAACTCTGCCTCACACGAAGATAGTGCAACGATTTCTTGTTTCTGTGAACACCATGTTATTGCACATTCATTGAGGTAGAAGACATGACCAGAAGTGCTTTTTCCATCGTCCAAGTCGACATTGTGACTACTATCACTATATCCGATTAAGCCAGACGTCTTTGCACCCTCAAACTTCAAACCATAACTCATAGTTCCTCGTAGATACCTCAAGACCTGTTTTAATGCTATTCCATGATACTCTTTTGGGTCTTGCATATATCGGCTCAGTACGCCAACACAATATGAGAGATCTGGTCTTGTATGAAGTAAATAGCGAAGACAACCTATGTTCCTTCTGTATCTCTTTTCATCGATGCTCTTCTCCTTTTGTGCTTTACTTAGCTTCAAACCTGCATCCATTGGTATGTGTACCGCATTGCATTCGCTTAAACCATTTTCCTCTAGTATCCTTCTTGCATATCGTTCTTGATTTAGGGTGATGCAGTTTCCTTGTTGTGTTACCTCTATCCCAAGGTAATATGTTAATCTCCCTAGATCACTCATCTCGAAGCGTTCAGCCATGTCCTTTTTAAACTCGAGAATCAGCTTTAGACATGAACCAGTGACGAGTAAGTCGTCGACATACACGGCTACAAGGAGGAGCAAACCCTTCTCTTCCTTTCGATACAATGAAGGTTCTTTTGAACATTTATCAAATCTTAGCTCGCGAAGAATCTGGTTGAGCTTGTGGTTCCAGGCTCTCGGTGCTTGTCTGAGCCCATAGAGAGCTTTGTGTAATTTATACACTTTGTCCTCCCTTCCTTTAATCACAAATCCTTCGGGTTGTTGTACGTAAACTTCCTCCTTCAGCTCGCCGTGTAAGAAAGCTGTTTTTACGTCAAGGTGGTGAACTTCCCATTTATTTGAAGCAGCTAGAGCAATGATGAAGCGGATTGTTTCAATTCGGGCTACTGGAGCAAACACTTCGTCAAAGTCAATGCCAAATCTCTGCACATAGCCCTTCGCGACTAGTCTTGACTTGTACTTGTTTATGCTTCCATCTGAGTTGTGCTTTATCTTAAACACCCACTTAAGTCCAATCGGTTTTGCTCCAGAAGGGAGATCGACTAAGCTCCACGTTTTGTTTTTATTGATCGAGGATATCTCTTCCTCACACGCGTCCCTCCATACTTTTAGCTCTTTTGCTTCTTTATAATTCCACGGCTCCTCATCTATCGCAAGTAGTAAGCGTTCACTTTCAATTTCAGCGATCAGAATAAAGTCTTCTAAATACTCTGGTGGCTTTCGCGTCCTTGTTGATCGCCTGAGAACAGGTTCCTCGAGTTCTTGTTCATCGGTTTCCTCAGTTTCATACTCGGGAATATTTCCAGTTTCTTCTTCGAGGTTTTGATCATTAGTGCTCTATTCTGGATTATCCCCTGTTTCGCCTGAGTTATTCTCTGTTTCACCGCTTCTTTCATCTCTGAGAACAAGAGTAAATGTTCCGGAGCCTTCGTTAATCTCCTTTCCTGAGCTATTCCACTTCCAGCCTTTTGTTTCATCAAAAATAACATCTCGGCTTACTACTATTTTCTTGCTTCTAGGCTCTAAAAGTCGATAGGCCTTAGATCCGGGTTCTGTTCCCAAATGAACCAACACTTGTGATCGATCATCTAGCTTTTTTAGGTGAGGAGTCGTTGCTTTTGCGTACCCGATGCATCCGAAAACCCTTAAGTGGTCGACGTTAGGTTTTCTTCCTTTAAAAACTTCATATGGTGTTTGTTTCGACAACGTCTTTGTTCCTACTCTGTTTATAATGTATGTTGTGTGTCTAACAGCTTCACCCCATAAGAAATTTGGAATGTCCATGTGTTTCATGATGCTTCGAGTCATTTCCATAAGTGTCCTATTTCTCCTTTCTACAACTCCATTTTGCTGAGGAGAATAGGGGGCTGTAAGGTGTCTCTTGATGCCCGTATCATTGCAGTAATCTTTGAACTCTTGCGATATAAATTCGCCTCCCCTGTCCGTGCGAAAGGTTTGAATCTTTAGGCCAGTTTCTTGTTCAACCATCTGTTTGAACCTTTTGAACCTGTTGAAAGCTTCACTTTTCTCTTTTAGCAGAAGAGACCACATATATCTCGAAAAATCATCTATTAGCACAAGAATGTATCGATTTTGTGCAGCTGTGGCTGGCGTGATCGGACCACAGAGGTCTCCGTGAACCAGTTCAAGGGCTTGTTCTGCTCGATATGAGGCCTTTTGTGGGAAGGTTTTTCTGATCTGTTTTCCGAGCAAACACGCGGAGCAAGTTTCTTTCTGGACTGCAATGCTTGGCATCCCTGTGACTAAATCATTCTTGATCATTGTCTTCATGGTCTCTACCCCGACATGTCCAAGCCTTGCATGCCATCTAGCTGAATCGTTTAGTTCCGTAATTTGCAGACACTTGTTACTTTCAACCTCCATATGGACTTTGTAAAGTCGATTTCTTGACCTGTTTGCTTTTACAAGCAATCTTCCATCACTTCCATATAAAGTTAAGTAGTCTCCTTTCATGCGAACATCACATCCAGACTCAGTAGCCTGTCCTAGACTGATTATATTGCTTCTGAGATCTGGTATGAAATATACATCTGCAAGTATCTTTCTTTCGCCATCTTTGCTCACAAACAGTATGGACCCTTTTCCCTTGATATCGATACGAGAGTCGTCCCCAAATCGTAACTTTCCTGTAATGTTTTCGTCAAGCCTTGAAAAATAGCTTCGGTTTCCTGTCATATGGTTGCTAGCCCCGTTATCGAGATACCACACATTGGTTTCATCAGAGGACGCTTCAAAACTATCTGGTCTCACGTTTTTCTCATTGAGAAACACCACTTCATGCATCATTAATTTTTCCCCTTCGTGTGTATCATCTTGGTCGACTTCGTCCTCTTTAGCCTCTTGAAGCTTAAGTAGTCTATCAGGACAACTTGATGCATAGTGTCCCAACTTGTCGCAGCGATAACAGGTTAATTTAGACAGATCTCTTGTCTCGTTTGTTCTACCACGACCTCTACCTCTGCTGTAGAAGCGTCCACCGCGACCTCTGCCTCTGTTTTCATTGTTATAGCTTCGGTTTGATTGAGACTCTGTATTGGCGTACATCAATTTGCCTTGATCTTCCTGTGTTTCTTCTTCTTCTCCCTGGATGCGATCCTCATAGGCTTTTAAGCGTCCTACGATATCCTCAAAACTAGTTGTATTGAGGTCCAATACTTGTTCTAGTGATGCTACGATGTGGATGTATTTTTTCCGAGGAACGCTTTTGAGAAACTTCTTGACCACTTTAGCTTCTTCGATATTTGTTCCCAATGCTGCTGACTTTGAAAAAATTTCGGATAGCTTGCCACTGAATTCATCGATAGTCTCTCTATCTTTCATTTTGATGCGATCAAATTCTGCCATTAGGGTTTGGAGTCTGGCTTCGCGAACTCGTTCTGCCCCTACATGGCGTGTTTTAATAGCTTCCCAGACTTTCTTTGCTGTGTTAAGTTCATTAATCTGCAAGATCAAAGCTTCTGGTATTGACTGAAAGATTAACCCCATCGCTATATCGTTCTGCTCCCCTTTGTCTGTCTCTGTTTCTACGGCTTCCCAAGCTTTGTGAACCCTGAGCAAAACTCTCATCCTTAATGCCCATACTGTGTAATTAGTAGCGCTTAACATGGGGCATTGTATCGATGAGAGACTTAGCTCTTTAGGTTTAGTAACAGGTACGAGATCCCCCATTGTTTAATCGAATTTCTGTAGGTGTCCTTTTTGTATCTTTGAGATCGATAATATATGCTCTGATACCAAAATATTATCGAATTGGCTTTAAGATCAAGTTAATAAAACTCACTTTTATTAAACTTTAGGAAAACTCTCTCAAAAACCTAAAAGACCAAAACTCAAACTCATAAGTTATGCCACAAGTTGGCATCTCCGTATATAGGTTTAGCAACTCCTAAACCTAATAGAATTAGATAACTCCTAATTTCCTTTTTCCTAATCTAACACTTTTAGGAAATATAACTTAAGACGAATCTAGAAGCTTGCTCTTCAAGCTTTCTTTCAAGCTTACTCCAACAGTAACCACCAACCTCTCTCGCATACTTCATTTTCTATTCGGTTGAAAACGCAAAAAAATTGTTTGGTTTGCGCATAAACCTTGTCGAGGAACGCTTCTGTAACACCATGATTCATCACCTAGTAGTTCAAGGAGATTTTTCTTTTTTAGGTCAATAACATAAACACTCAAAAATCTAAACCAGAGTACATATTTTACATATAAGCCATTCAACGTGACAAATAGAAATAAGGTTCAATGATTTCAACCAAGCATATATAGAATTTTATGACTGTGATAGTCACGAAAAGGGTCAAACCTGAACAATGCCCCATGTGGAGAGCGCTGAGTGAAGTTTACTCAACTCTTCTTGACCTTCATCAGAAGAAGAGAAGAGAAGGCTAAGATCAATGGCTGAGATTTCCATCTCCCGGTAAAGTTTTCGAGAAAATTGAGAATTTCAAAGAGAAATCGGGGACCAATGTGCAATTGTTTTTAAAAAAATATTTTTTCCAAAAATTTTTTACCCTACCCGACTTTTCCCTTTGAAACCCCGACCCCAAACTCTTTCTCTTTCCTCTCTATTTCTTCGCCATTATCGACCCTTCAAGCTCCAAACCCCAACTTTTTCAATTCTCCTCTGTTTTCAACGTTTTTGGGTCTAAATCAATCGGTTTTCTGCCCTCTATCTGTTTCTGCAATCAATTTTGACACCCAGCACAGGTATAATTCGCAATTATCCTCTTTGAAATTCGGCGAAAAATTTTGAAAAGGAATTTTATGGTGTCTAAGTCTTGATTTTGGTATATGCATGTGCTGTTGATACTGTAGAGTAGAAACAGCATGGTTATATGTGATAAATTGCTTCCTAAATTTAGTTGTGGAAATTTTCTGAGTTAATTTGGCTCTTTCTATGTCGTTGTTGCAGAAATGCCTCCAAGGACAAAGTTCACGAAGAACCAGAAGAATAAGAATGGCAAGGAAAGCAGTTCCTATCAAACCACTTCTCCATGGCCTCGCACGGAAAATAAACCGATCAAGCTGTCTGACGAGAAAATGCCGAAGCACTCCGATGAGTAGTAGGACCAGATAGACTCATTTTACTACAATAAGCTGTTTGGCGTCAAATTGCAACCGATTCTAGTGATGTGCACATACTCACTAAAGCGGTTGGGATTTTCGATCAGGTGAGCACCATCCTGCTCAACTAGAGGCTGACGACATTTGCCTTCAAAGATGATGTGCTCTACCTTGATCTGGTTTGCCAGTGTTTCGCATCCGTAAAGTTGCAGTACGCAAATCCCGCGAAGCTGCGGTCTGACGAAGCGATCCTCTTTTTCTTTGCTGGAGGAAAAAGATACAACATCAGCATGGAAACTCTCTGCCAGGTTTATGGGTTTCATGATGAAGACAAGGAGCTGAGATTCCCAAAAAAGTTCGAAATTGCCAATGAGTTCTGGCAGACCATCGCCTCAGGCCCCTACAAGTTAAACTCAGCGAGCATATCGGTCATCCGCCACCCATGTGTTCGCATCTGTGCGAAGATCTTCAACCAGATGCTGTTCAACCGCGACTCTGGGAACAAGGTACCGATGGATGTGTTGATGCTGCTATATTTTAGTTGTGGTGATTTGGTTGCAGACTCCTACAGCGTCAAATCCTAATCGAGCACATCATCAACTTTGGAATTCAGTTTGCGCAAACCATCTGCGCAGCGAA